TACTACGACGAACACTACTACTACTACTACTACTAATACTACTACTACGACGACTACGACGACTACTAATACTACTACTACTACTACTACCACTACTACTACTACTACTACCACTACTACTACTACCACCACTACTACTACTGCTACTACTACAATAAAAAAGTACGCGCGGGTTTCGCACGGATTCTGCGCGCGTGGTCGCATTTAAATGTCTTGAAGAAGTTAAAATATTACGACGAATATTAGCAATATTTCTGCAAATTGTAATTTAATCAATATTACGGTTAGTATTATTTCTACTACATTTACGATATTTTTGTTATTATTACTATTACTATTACTATTACTACTACTACTACTACTGCTACTACTACTACTACTACTACTAGAAGTATTAATAGTACGCGCGGGTTCCACGCGTCTACGTTTCGCGCGGTTTTCGCGCGGTTTTCGCGCGGTTTCCGCGCGTTATGCGCGTTATGCGCGTCTGTTTTGCGCGGGTTCCGCGCGTGTTGTTCTGCGCGGGTTCCGCGCGTGTAGCCGCATTCAAATATCTTCAAGAAATTTATATATTACGACGAATATTACTACTGTATGTACTTGGGAACCTTTACATAATAACCTTGGGGACCTTGAGAATATTTACGTGGAAAACTTGGGAACCTTGAGGGAACCTTTACAATACAACCTTGGGAACCTTGACAACCTTTACTTGGGAAACTTGGGAATCTTGAGGGAACCTTTACAATGCAACCTCGCAAAAAGCTTGAGGAAACCTTGACAATATAACCTTGGAACCCTTGAGAACCTTTACAATGTAACCTTGGGAACCTTGAGGGAACCTTTACAATGCAACCTTGGAAAGCTTGAGGAAACCTTGACAATATAACCTTGGAACCCTTGAAAACCTTTTACAATGTAACCTTGGGAACCTTGAAGGAACCTTTACAATACAACCTTAGGAACCTTGGAAAACTTGGGAACCTTCAGGGAACCTTGAAAAAACCTTGAAGAAACCTTGAAGGAACCTTGAGGATACCTTTTGGGAACCTTGAGGGAACCTTGACAATCTAACCTTGGGAATCTTTTAGAAACCTTTACAATGTCACCTTGGGAACCTGGACCACGTTTACTTGGGAACCTTTACATAATAATCTTGGGAACCTTGACAACCTTTACTTGGAAAACTTGGGATCCTTGCAGGGAACCCTGAAGGAACCTTGAGGGAACCTTTTGGGAACCTTTTGGGAACCGTGAGGGAACCTTGAGGAACCTTGGGAACCTTGGAACCTTGAGCGAACCTTGGGAACCTTGGGAACCTTGAGCGAACCTTGGGAACCTTGGGAACCTTTACTTGGGAACCTGGGAACCTTTACTTGGGAACCTTTACTTGGGAACCTTTACTTGGGAGCCTTTACTTCGGAACCTTTACTTGGAACCTGGGAACCTTGGGGGAATGGGTTTTGGAGGTGCTCCGGTCTGCTCCGAAACCTTTACTATGGCTGAAGACCCCAAAGCATTCTGCTGTTGGGGAAAAAAGTATAACATAGTATAACTATGACTTGTCTACTTTTCATCACGATTGCAGTGCAGTTCGTTCCTCCCCCCCCTTCTTTTGGAGGGCGGAGTCAACAGAGTGGACGGAGCTGCGGTTGCTCTTGAAGAGACTGCAGCTGCAAAGATCCATCATGGAGATTCCCGGCACAGAACTGGCAGCTAGGGATTTTTGTTGCTGGTTTGTCTCAAGGGACACAGGAAACCATGGTGCCATGACCAAATCTGAGTCCGATGATATGATCACCTATTCCCGGTGCAACGGTGCAACGGTGCAACGTGTAACCTTGGAACACCAAAAGGAACCCTAGTTGCTGGCCGAGTTCTGAGTCGTACCGCCACTTGGATAAAAACATGGATTCATTGTTCACACATCTTGCCTTCCAATAGTTACAAAACTGCAAAACAGTGTCACTTATCTTTTTTTGGGGGTTGCCATAGCCAAGAAAAAAATGTCACATCAATCTCATCGCCCATGAATTCAGATCTGCCGCATCTTCACGACTGGCAGTGACTGGCAGTATAGAAATGCATTCGGCAAGGCTGGTGCTGCATCTTGCTGTCCATAAGTCTGGTGAATGTTGATGGTTTCAGCCGCTCGCCGGCGATCAAGTGGAGTTGAGTATTCAAATTAAGAATGGAAACAATACGGAAAAGTATTTCTTGAAACGAATACAGGACTTGAAACGCCAGTTGTTTTCTAGGTTTCATCCGTTGCCATGAGTTCCAGACCATTGGCTTGAAATTATGCAAGAGCAGAAGTCGTCTGTACAAGTTCCAGTGCCTAGCTGCAGTTGTCAGGGCACGGGGTATTACAGCGAGTGCCACCCAACCTGCACCAGAAGTACTCACCAACATTAGTGCAGCACTTGCCATCGCCTCAGTATCTCTGCCGTTTCCTTGCTAAATGTCACCGGTAACATAATCCAGCGGTGATTCAGATGCACGATTCAGTGTCACGGAGAGCGAAAACAATAAGTCAAGGTTAGAACCCTCCACACCCCACATCCAACCATGGAAATTCGAGTGTTGCCGACACCAAGCTGCATTGCATGCACTCAAATATACCAGAGGTTGCATTGACTTTGGAGCGCAGGCGTGTCATCGGCCAACAGTTGCAGCAAGCATCCTCCAAACCTGCCGGTGACTTCCCCAACATCGGCATCTGCTTCGGTGAAATCTTCCCAAAACCCTCTGGCCGGACCTGCATCCTTTGCGCCGCAGCCCTGCCAATATTTCCTGGAAGTGGATCAACTTCAAACAAGACTTTTTCAGAGCCACAGACTATACTATAGTTACTATACAGACTCACAGCCGACACAGAAAAACACGTACTCTTGTCATGCCATTCAGGGCTGCAATATTTCAGCCGAGGGTCCCTTTCGGTGCCAGTGCTGCAAGCTTTTGTGGCTCCATGCACCCCTCAGCCTTCACGTTCCTCAGGAGGATCTGAGGCGTGGCCCTAACAGCAGAACCATCTGACCATAGCCAAGTCAGAAACTGAGATTACCTTTCTTCCCGAAGTTCTTGTTTAAAAAAAAAACATCCAAAAAATATCCTTTAAGTGGGTCTCCCATACTCTGTAACCTCTGCTCCAGAACTGTGGTTTGGCCCCAGAAACATTGCAAAAGTAGATTCCAAAACGATCAAGGTCCTTCAAAAAGGTCCCAAAATAATCAAGACAATTTGACGCCCATCCCACTTCATCCAAGTCACATTGGCATCTCCAGGTCGCAATGTCCTTTGTTGCCTTCACCCAAACATTCCTTGACACCTCCATAGCCACTGGGGCACTGGAAGCCATTGACCCCAATGCACAGCAGAACCTTGGGACACTGTAGCTGGCTGGTGGGGGATAGATACCTGGTGAAGCAGTGGCATGGCAATGTGAATCCGCAAAATTCAGCAGGAAAATATCCATGGCCATATTTACACAATGTAGGATAGCGAAGGAGCCTAACACTGTTGATCCGACTGATTAACCTCGGCCTGAGGAAAGGAAACGTTTCTTCCGAATATAGTGAGCTAGGAGGAGAAAAGAATGATTGGAACCATGGAGGACCCAAACCTGCCATAGCTGGCATGGCATCCTGATGTTCTACCCGCAGGGCAAATGAGAATGTCGCATCATCAGCGTCAGTTCTTGCAGGCACTTGGCAATCCGCTGGCCCCAACTGCTTACATTACATCACTCTCATGGAGATAGTTTAGTTTTGCCCGGCCCCCTCCGTAAATTTTATGGAAATTGATGATAACTAAGAGGCAACAGAGTGTTGGTGCCCGATTTGGAGACAACCCCAGCTGGCCAGGGTTCTGCTTCATAGATGCACCAGTTTCTCCCCCCTCCACTCCAACAACTTGGATTCCTATGCCAGTTTGGACTATTTTGAAGTTGGTTTCATATACACATATATAGTACATACATATATATATATAGTCATATATAGATAGATGTATATCATCAACCCCAAAAACAGAAACAACCGGTTTCTAACGCTTACTGTAGGTCCGGTGATTCTCGCCCACCGAGCTGCCAGGAACGACTTCATCCCGTCGCAGAGGGGCTGGGTTTCACTCGGTGGGCGGGCAACTCTCGGCTGCGGAGAGCTGAAGCATCACGACTCATGGAGGTAGCTAGTGAAATTCACTACATTTTTTGGTTCTTGGGAATCTCAAAAGTGAGACATTCAATAGATTTGGCTGAAAGTGCGCATCTCCAATATTAATTGCGTGCTTGATCTGACTTCCTTTTAAAGTTCAACGGCTCTTACATTGGCCCACCCCAGGAATGTCCTCTCGGAATCTTTGAGGGATGGTGAAAGGTCCCATAAAGAGACCAAGAGAGTGGGAGAGATTAGTTTAAATTAGACGAAGTTAGATGAGATGAATATCACCCAACCAGTGGGATATGCAGGAATCATCATCAGCAACGATCCAACAGTGGAGCAGCAGCTTCGCCCCCCTTTTGAAACGTCGGTGAGTTTCCGCACCCAAATGGTGCGCCGTAAACTTGGCGGAATGACTAACACTCTGCCGCAAAACACTGGACACAAAAACAGAAAAGACCCCTTTGGCAACAAATTGGAAGCGACACAAGTTCCATTGATACTCTTTTAAGGAATGACATCATGGATACAAACTTGGCACCAAAACCTGCTCATGTTCATCCATTTCTGCTAGCTTTGACTGTTAAGTGATCAGTCTATCATGTCTTTCTACGACTTCGGCTGAATCGTCCCTCACTCAGAGATCTGCAAATGCTGTGGCAACAGTCCTGATGCCTGAGCCTTTTGCCACAGCTCCAGAGGCACTTTGACATCACACAACCTTGGTACGGCAGATATCGGCAGATTCGCCAAAACCAAGAAGTCAAAGCCCCATTAAAACATATTCAAGCCAATAATTACAATAGTTCTTGGGCTGTAATATCCTCCCAGGAATTGGGATTCTAATGGACCTATTGGCCATGGTCATTCTGAGTGCCTCGAAAATGGCCACATGACATCCCCTTCCCAGCATTCCACAAGTTCTTGAAACGCTTCGAAGGACTCCACGTTGCCACGCACTTGTTCAGGAGAAGCGCACCCAACAGCAACCCTGGCCGCACAACATGACTCTACACCAAGGCTGAAAGGAATGGTAAACTGGTTTGTCGGAAAATTGGACAGCCGAAATCCACTGGTTTGCCATCATTTTCTCATCAAAGTGACCATTTTGAGAAAGTATACTGTATTAGTCATACTCCATTTTCAAACTAACCCAACTGGATATGGTTGGTACTGTATTGTCTATATATATATATATGCATGTGTGTGTGTGTTTGTGTCTGTGTGTGTGTTATATCCGTTATAAGTGCTCTATATATATATCCTTTCATATCTCCATCATGTCACCATTTATTCCTCAAATCCCGATACAAACCCGCCGTGGCGCCTCTCCACACAGCTGGGCAAGAAAGCAAATGCCAAAGCCACCTGAAGCGGTGAAGCGAAGGCTCACAGTTTCTCTCATGTTTTTGAGTATGTGTAGCATCATATATTTTAGCACATGTCATAGTATATTATATATATATACATTTATATTGTATTGTGTCGATTTTTTGACTTCAAACTCAAACTACAGTATCTATCTATCTATCTATCTATCTATCTATCTATCTATCTATCTATCTATCTATCTATCTATCTATCTATCTGATCTATCTGTCTGTCTGTCTGTCTGTCTATCTACCTATTAGAAAAGATAGATTTGATTAGAATAACATTGAATCATATTATTACCTGCAAATCCGATGTGCTGCGGCCCCAAACCTGTGGCAGGCTGAAGCCATAGGATGTGCTCAGCTCCTTCCAGCGTGCCACCTGGCAATGGTGAAAATTTGCCCATAAGATACATAACACTCTCCATTTACAGATCGTGGTTCCATTGGAAAAAATGTTAAATGATGATGATTTTCATGAATTTTCCAGTACATGCGGTTTTCTCAAAATTGGGCATCCCAAACCCGCAACGCTTTATCAAAAGTGTCACCGTCATCTTGAGACAAACTCATATTGCACCTGCAAGCTTTGAAAATGACAAACGGTTCAAAAATGGGGGGCACATGTCTCAAAACCTCAGAACGTTGTTTTGGTACATGTGCTTGGTGACTTTGGCAAATAAGAAGCCAAACCTGGGAACCAAGTGTGACGGCTTTTGGAGATGCTGTGCTGCAACACCGAGACATGCTTCAAGCATATGACAGGCTTCAAACATCTGAGCTGGTGCCAAGACTGACAATTACATTCCCTTGTTATTTTCCCATCTTCCCCCACCTTCTCTGTGAGCTCGGGTGGGATCTCACCTCAGTGCATCCATCAATCTGCAAGACCAACGTTAGGACACCACGACGGGTAGGTCCAGAATTTGGCAAAAGGAATTCTGTGGACTTTTGTGGCACTAGGTGGCACTCAAAGTGAGGGGACGGGTCGTGACGGGTCGACATGAATTACAAAGATTTACAAAGCCCAACTAGTACATCAACATACTCTGTTGCCCAGAAAGATGAGCCCAGCCATTTTCGGGTTGAAGTTACAACAGTTGAAAAAGTGTGAAGTGCCTTGTTTTCTCCACATCCCAGGCATTGTACACTTGACGTCAACTTCCTCAAGACCAAGTTGCTTCTGTACATGAAAAAGTTCTGCCCCCACAGCAGACCGGCGCAAAAGACAGCAGCCAAATGTACCTTGATTCCTGAGTTCGAACTGGAAAGATAGAGAACTCAACTGGCTTTGCCATGGCTCCGAACACAAATAATGCAGCATGGCGGTACTGCCCAGGATCCTCGTTTTTGACATTCCAAAAGTAGAGGATAGGAAGACTGGTCCAGCAGGTTCCAAGTCCGAGCCATCATGATGTTGTCCTTCGAGCTGGGCTTTGAGCTGGGTGGAATGACTGCATGATCTGCATGCGCTGGAGACCAGCTGGAATCATCTTGAATTGATGTTCTAAGACCACCTGATGACTGGCCCATCCCAGGGTCACAACGCTACGCCAAGAGTGCCAAGCGTCAAAAGTGCCATTGGGATACTTCTGAATGGTTTTCCTGTGGCAGTGGCCAGATCCATCAATTGTCCATGATATGTCGACATGGCAGACAAAGCATCAAAGAAAATAGCCCCAATGGTTGAATGGTACCACCATCTTATTTGAGCAGTGTTCCAAGCCCCATGTCTTCCCTTTATACTGGTTGGTTGATCGGGATTCCCCTCCAATGACCTAATGGATGGTGATATTCCCCAATATATTGGATTCGTTGGTAGGATCACCTACGAGAATCGACCAACAGTGGTATTGAACACTTCTCATTTACTGTATGTTCATTCAGAATTAACATCTTACACCAAGCAACATGAGGTACGGCACACTGTTGAAACCTCAGCTGCGGGGCTGCGGGAAGAAAGGCATCGCATCAGCTACATCGTTGAGGTGTTCCGACATCCTGCCGCCAAGGAACCCAGGCTAACCTGCCCGATTTCACCTGCGACCCATTGGAGAAAAGTGTGAAGCTGGGTGCCAAGTGATCCCTACAATTACATTTTTCATCGTTTTTTTGTTCCATATTACATCATGTTACTTATTGAGGATTTTTTTTTGGCTAGGGCCGCGGCTAGGGCGTCCAGGGGGGAAGACAATCCAACAGGCCGGGAATTGATGAACTACACTCCAGACGGTCCGATCGGCCTTTCTCCCTGAGAGACACCAACACGGCGATGGCTCCATCAGGACCTGTCGACCCAGCTGAGCTCAACAATCAGCGACACATATGAATAAAGGTTTCCTAAAATCAGGGTACCAAAACAATGGGTTTCAATACTAAAACGATCTAGTTTTGGATGATTTGGGGTGCCCCTATTTTAGGAAACCCCTCATAATTCCTCATTTAGGACATTCGCAGTACTCAATGACCTCTCAAGACTCACAAGGCACGGCCGCCAAGTGGCTGCAAGCTTCCTCCCATCGCTCCGGATCTTCAGCATCATGAACTCGCAAGCAGTCGATGAAGTTGCCTTACAACTTCATGACTTCATGGGCCACCAAAATTGCCATAGAAATCCACATAATTTTTTGAGCAAAGAAGGTTTCCTTTGATTACTGCCATAGACTTCGAGGGCCATTTGCCAAGGCTACGCGGCTACAACATGCTACAACGTTTCCCTCCTGTGCTCCCCAACGTTGCAGGCGCTGCCTGGACTGTCGCAAACTCTCCTCAGTGCCTTCCTGGCAGCTGATGTTCCCGGCTGCATGCTGAAGGAAAATAGACTGCAAAGAACGCCTTGCGGTAGTCCCAGACAGGAACGTTGTTGTGGTAGTTTTCCGTGTTGAAATCCTTAGACTGGTGCACAAGGAGGGAGGCAGCAAAGCACAGCATAAAACAAAGGGACAAAGATCGAAATCAGCCGAGTTGTACATGTTTTGCTATCGCGAACGGACCAGCCTAGAACAATGCATGTGATTTTTTCTTGCTTCTTCAGAGGCCATGATTTTTTTTGCAGTAAATCATCCCTCAATGTAATGTCATCAGGTATGCGCCATCGGCGGCAAGAAACTGTCGTAAACTCAGCCGCTCCACAGTACGAATCATGCCGAGGCTCGTAACCGCTGTCAACCCTGGTTCCATGACTGGCCGCCTCCACTTTTGTCACCATGTAACCTCACTGAAAAGTTTTGGATGGCAAAGTTTTGTTTCTTTAAAGTTTCACTTGTTTGATGTGAATTGACATGATCTATGCCATCTATGATATCTATGCGTTTCGTGGTGGTTTGTTTGCAGTTTTTCCTGCTTTGCCCAAATCTGCGAGCCGAGCGACGTCCCACTTTGGTGGATACAGCTACCTGCTCCTGCAACGCTTAAGAAAGACTGTTCCATTAAGTCCATGCAGTCTGATGCAATTTGGAAAAAAAAATCAAGATCCTCACTCAAACAGCTTCAAATTCAAATGACAAACAAATGTGAAAAATTGCACTAATGTAATCTCGTCACTGGGCCAGGTAGCCCATATGTGCCACATATCACCTCTTTTCAACAGCATTTGCGATGCCGACATTGAGGCAACAAAGTGTCCTTGGTCGTACCTAAGTTTCAAATTGCGTGTTCAAACTCTGCACTGCATCACCAAGCTGGTGCCAATGGCTATGATGGCTTTGCCGACAGTTGTGACGAAGACGGTGGTGATGGTACTTCTGTTGATGTCGAAACGATTGAACTTATGGTATGGCGAAAGGTGCTAAAATTTGGGAGAGCGTTTTATCTTATCGTTTCCCTGGTTTTTGATTGCCTCAGTTTTTGGATAGAGTACCATCGTCTGCGGACCTCCAATTCAGCTTTAGGTTTACAAGACCACCCGATCTCTACTTCCGACCTCACCAGGTTAAACTTTGCTCATGTCTCACATGGTGATCAAAATTGAATACTGTTTTTAGATGTTTTCCCATTTTCTTCGTGCGCTGTAAGTTTCCCAAGCTTGCAATATGGCAACACACATCAAAGTATCCCCGACCCCAACTGGTTCAGGAGTAGGGGGGGTGGATCCTACTTTTCTGATAATGTATGAACATAAGGGGGGGGTTAACCCCCTCACTTTTTGCCAAAAATGTATGGGAACTAGGCGGGGGTAACCCCTCAAAATGAGGCATGTATGAGTGCCAGATGCTGGAAATGTATTATTGGTAGGGGTATTGAACCTGAAAATGTATGCTTTGTGGGGGGCACCACTGACACGAGCCAATGGATACATAAATTTTTCTAAATGTATGCAAGCATGGGGGGGTCTGCACCTCAATCCAATTGATTTTTTTCCCTGGGAAACCTACTGAAACCCATGGGCCATAAAATGGCTGAAATATCCCCCTTTGAATTAAGTGAGAGTGTTGGTGTTGACAATTTTATAATGATAATCCGGGAGGCCCTGACCCTCTTTCTGAAAATGCATCTATAGAATCAGAGACCCCAAGGTATTTTCAAGTTGACAATTTCTATAGAATCGATGCCACCAAGTCACGCTCGTAGATGGTTGGGGGGGTTAATTGGCCTTCTATAAAATCAGGTTCCCCAAGCCTCCTTCATTGACAGCTGACCTGAATGCTCCAGTTACTCTTGCCTAGCTTGCCTTATGCACTCCCAAATTTATAGAGTTCAAAGGCTCCAAGTGTTCACTGTCAACCCTTTCAATTTCAAAGATCTTGAAAGTCGCTCTGTTTCATTTTGTTTCATTTTGTATCCATCTGTTTCCATCCGTTTGCTTTTTTTTAGCGGAAAGGCGGAAAGGCTGGCTCGAGGACTTCGACCCAAAAACGGTAAGACACACTGGGGAGACACAACGGGGAGAAAGAAAGGGGAGACACAACGGGGAGACACAACGGAAAAATGATGCAAAATGAAAAATGTCACTTTTATAGTTTGTAAACAAGAAAAAGCTGCTTTTGTGAGATATTGAAATGTCAAAATTGTACATATTTGCTGAATATAACTGATGATAACTGATAAAACCCTGATGATAGATCTCCAACAAATCTCCAATATATCCCAAAAGTATCCAAAAGTTTCCCAAAATATGTCAAGATTCCAAATGATTCCAAAATATACTACAAGGATGATCAAGGATGATGAAGGATGATGAAAGAATTGTTGTGGGAAATTGGTTCTGCCAATGCTTCTCTATAAAATTGAAGAGCATGACATATATCCAAAGAGAACGTATCCCACTGTAGAATCGCAGTGCCTAAGACTCTCTGCTGACTAGTCCTCAGTGCTGTATTCAATATGAAATCTCTATAGAATTAGAGGCCCCAAGGTCCTCTATAAAATTGAAACCGTTGACACTAAGCGTTGACACTGGGTAGGTACCCCTTATTAAGTCAGAGGGGTTAAAACGCACCATTTTCCAGGAAGTAACGTTCCCGATTCTGTAGAGGAAATTCCAAGGGGGATGCTGAAATATACTTGATTTTAAATATTCTGAAATGTATGCATTGCAGGGGGTACCAATGACTACCTTAGCCAGATCTATTCCCTCCATTTTCCAAAAATGATGTGCTTTTCGGCTACCCAACCCCCTTAAAATACATTTTTCAAAGAAGGGTATTCCCAGAAAAAAATTAAGCATTCCCGGGGATCCTGGAAAAACCAAACCCGTAAAATGTATTAAACCATCCCCCCAAAATAAAAGATCCTGGGGGGGGTTGGATATCCCGACCCATGGATCCTACGTTTAACGTACACCCACCGGTCAAATAATGTATTTAGGGGGGGTCCTGGGGAATCAAATTCTTGGAGAACGGTAAATGTATTTTTTTTCCCCAACCTCTCCCCCCCTAAAATAGATTTTTAGGGGTGGGTGATCATCAACGTTATATACACAAAAAAAAATTGGACACCGTGCTCACCTCTCTAAAGAAGTCCAAGTTTCTTTGCGCTGTAGCCAATGCCTTTCCCAACCGTTGTTCAGAAAGTCCGGCGCCATACCTCAGGAAACGTCGCACATAGAACGCCAGAACATTCCCAGGTGTGGCACTACTGCAGCCGTTAAACTTTAAACGCTGACATCGTTGACTCCTAAAAAAATTCCACGACGATCAGGTCATCACCTACATCCGCACATAAGCGTGAAATCAGACTGTTGCCCAAATTACTAGAATGTGCAATAAGGTTTTGGCTACCCACATGAATCCGACGAACCATCTCAATCAAATCATGATGGCAACCAACGTCCCTCGGGAAATGTTTTTGCCGCGTTGCCAGGGAGCAGTGTCCACATACCGGATGCCCAAGGATAAAGCCTGCAAACAAAAAATTATGTAATTCATTAATATGTCAACACTTGCAAGAAAACTAAAAGGTGAGGCACGACCCCACTCAAACATCGCAGAAAAGGGGCGTAATCACGAGAATAACAGTCCGGTGTTGGGTCGCTTTCATAACATCACCAGTGGCACCTCCCACCATCCCACCATCCCACCACACCCCACCTGCAGAACTGTGCTCTCAGCGGTCGACTCCGGCACATCGCCGGCCCAACCACAACCGATGGGAGCGCAACCCAAGATCAGCGCAGAGACCGGGACCTCAACTTTGATGAGACACAGGCATGGACATCACATAATAAATTCTGATCAAATTCAATGATAAAAAATATGGTAGTACAAACATTGAAAGGGAATAAGAAAACAAAAATACGTGCAAACTATCAAAGGACTACTTGCGCCCATATGGTCGGCGGGTTGCTTTGCGATTTTTGAGCTCCAATTTTGCCTCAGTGAGCAGGAGCGCACCATGATTATAATATTTGGTTCGTTTTTGCAATGTCGCAATTGCATCCATGCCCTTTCAAAGTACTGAATGCAAACTGGCGACATCACCAGTTCCAAACACTCCCTCCCAACAGGGGCAACAAGCCATGGTCTACGCTTTGTGTAGTGTTGTCTTGGACCCATGCAAATGAAGTTGTGCATCTTGATTGTGGGCAAAAATATAATTTATGTGCATGGTTACCTCTCTTGTGGTGTCCATGGTTGCCAACGTAACTCCACTTCGAGCACCAAACAGCACCAACAAGCAACACTGACACAGTAACCCTGCAATCCATCCCTGCCCTGACTTCGAAAACACGAATTGAAAATGTCCAACCACATTTGGCAATTGTATACTGGAAACTTCGTTCCTGGAATGCAATTTGCAAGGTCACAATGCAAAAAAAAAATGCAATATTTTCCTTCCACCGATTCTCGTTGCCTTTCCCACCTTGCTCGTTTTTTTCGTTTTGGGATTTTGCGTCTCCTTTAAAGGAGCAATTTTGGCTACACAATGTCATGGCTATATCGTTCCGACTTTATTTAATCTGGTCCCTTCGGTTACAGTGATGCCATACGGCGTTATCAACGTTGCCATCCTACGTGCATTGCATGCTACGCTGTGGTCCCTTACGCTCACGGGCAGGTACCCCACATTCCACATTCTTCGCTTTACCGTTCGCCATGTGCATCATTTTTCCCCACCTGTCAATTCAGGGTTGTTGGATTTTATGTGATGGCCCGCCTTCCTCCTCTTGATCCCCGCCGGGCCTCAATTGCAAGCTCTAGATCGCAGTGTTCCCCGCCGGACCACAACAGCAGACTCTGGATCAAAGTGTTCCCTGCCGGACCTCCACCGCAAGCTCCGGATCAGAATGTTCCCCGCCGGACCCCTGAACAGCACTTTGGAAAAAATAAAAATGAAACATTAATTGACGCTCTGGCCAAGAGCCTAAATTGACAACCTAAAGAAACTTTAAACGAAACCGTATATAAATCAAGCCCTAAAAAAACGCTAAATCAACCCGAAGGAAATCCTGAATGACACCCTACGTGAAACCATAGAGGAACCTTAATGGAACATACCTGACCGTTTTGAAATCGTGAGAAAAAATAAGATTTTTTTTGTTTTTTTGGTTTCACCTACGGTGTTTCCAAGGTTTCAGTTAGGATACAGACAGAATAGAATCAAGCAAAGGAAAATGAAAAACACAGGGAAAGTAAAAATAGGAAGCAAGGAAGCAGAGAAGCGGGGAAAACAGAGAAGCAGAAAAGCAAAGAAGCAGGAAAAGCAAAGAAACAGAAAAAACAAAAAACTGAGAAGCAGGAAAAGCAGAGAAGCAGGGAAAACAAAAAACAGAGAAACAATGAAGCAGAAAAGCAGAGAAACATAAAAGCAGAGAAGCAGAAAGGCAGAGAAACAGGAAAGCATAGAACCATGACCCCCCTAAAAAAATCCAAACACTGCCGCGAAAAAAAAAATGCCCTCCATATAAAAGTTGAATAAAATGCGAAATATAATTGATGCCAACATGGACATTGACAAATAAGTGTGAAGGTGGGGGCCACTCGAAGCAAAAGAATTTTAAATTTTGGGTGGCTGGCGCAAACGCTACATGTGACTTTAATTCCTTTGTTGTCATGGATGTTTTTTTCCCGTCTGGCATTGGAAGGATTATTCCACCACTATAGGAAACAATATGTCACGATTATCAAACGGCTAAACAGGATCGTTGATGGTCATTGATATCAACAACTGGTTGAAAGAGAATTATTTACGCATGGTCCTGCAATGACGGTACGCTGACATGTACCACGTTGAATTGAAGTGAGCGGCAAGAGCCGTGAAAATGTGTTTTAATTGCCGGGATGCCGGATGACCCTGCGTGCAAGAACGCGCGTGTCATAAACATTCTAATATCGTTGGGGCGCATGTGGCATTGACCTCCGGCAAAAGAATGCAACTTACAAAAAGGCAACGTTCCACATTGTTTTTACACATCCTCATGAAGCTGCATAAGCAGGAAGGTAACGGGTCTCATTCCCACGGTACTGTTGTCGTCATCACATCGCGCCGAAAAGCGCCACGGAGTTCATATTTTTTCTGCATGCAACGGTTATTTTTTGATAATTTTGTAAACAAGCGGGTTGGTGCCAGTGCGAATTTACACCAAATTTTCCGCGATCAGTTCCCCAATGCGAAACATTGTCGGCGACCCTGGCACGAATTTGGTTTCCCGTGGCTTTGTTTATAACAACAAAAAAAATCAATTTTTTTATTTCGTTTTTCGGTGGACGCCCTGGCATGTTCGTCATACATTCCTCAAAATGTAGATGTTAATTCAAAATGCTGGCCAAACACTTATCATAGAATGGAATGTACATCAAGTAGCTGCTGCATTTTTCATTTGTTTTCGGGTCGGGAAAAATTTCCGCCTTTTTGCTGTCAAACTAATCAAGATACTTCTTCATTCATGATTAGAACGTTTTTTGGTTTGAACATGTTTGAACCCCTCGACATCTTCCAAACACACGCTGTGACAGCACTCAGCAAGGTTTCCAGTTCCGCCGGCCACGTTTTGCTGTCCATGTTGTGAGGGCGATTCTTTGCATAAAACAAGGCAGTGCACTGTCATTGGGCAATCCACCCGTTGCGGATGTACAAAAACAGATTTGTTTAAGCGGAGGGCAGCCATACAACGTAATGGTTTCACAGCAACCGCGAATTTCGTTTTTTCGTGCGAACGCGCGTGCCTGTCCCAAACAAATAGGGTTCTTTGGAAAGAGACTAAAATCGGCCCGGCCGTCCCCCATCTTCATTTCCCCCCAAAAAAAATTGTTCTGCCACTCCCACGTTTCAACAACGTTTTTTTGGAAAATTGTTTCAGGAAAGGGGCCAAATGTACATATGGTAAACATATGTATTTTCCCCGCGCGTATTTTTGGTGCTGAAGTTTGTGGGTCGCTTGGTAAGAGTCCAGCCATCAGCTGTCTGTTTTTTTGTTGGGCCAGTTCTTGATGTAACTGGCGGCTGGCAGCTCGCTGGTCATGATGGTAATCATATGCGTTGCGATCAAATGCACTCGTAAAATCCAGGCTCACAAAATAAACACTGAAATTTTATTGTATTTCGTTTTTGCTACAAATAATTTCAAACATAAAAACGCATCATCAATACGAATATGTGGTTTGCAACCCATGTGGTCGACACATTGGTCCACATCCAATGTCGCGCGTACCCTTCCATATCATCATTCCGATTCTATTTCGTAGGTGATTTTCGATGTCCATGGTTCGATGTCGATGGGTCTCCGGTTGTTCGGTTGTGTGATGTTTCCTTTTTTCGGAAACATGCGCTATCAAGGTTGACCTAGAAAAAGGAGGCACGAAAGCCAGCTTTCATCTGGTGATGTTAAGGCGAATTGAACTTAGTGGAAGGGAATTAAATCGGGAGAATGAGAGAAAGAGGGTGAGAGGGAGAAAACAACGAGAAAAAAAAAATGGAAAACTGTTTTCTGGATCCTTGTCGTTGGTGCCGCGTCGTGCAGACCACGGAGGAATCGATATCTCACCTATTTGCCTTCTGGCGCACGGCCACACGCAACTTGCAAACATTCCTCATAACACCCGCCAAATCGAAACCATCCGTTATTTACTGCCAGCTACCTTTTCTAGACGTTTCACTGGAATTCCTAGCTGTCGTATAAATTACTGTTGGTGCGTCATCCCGCATACCACTTTCATTCCAATCCTTTCTTGTGACCGCCCACAACTTGCAAACATGTCCCATAACACCCTCCACACCAAAACCATAAATTTTTTGGTGTCAGATACCTTTGCCAAAAATTTTCATTTACGCTCCTTCCTCTCATCTTGCTAACATTCCGCACAACACCCTCCAAATCGGAGCTGTCAACTCTCTAATGTCAGATGCCTTTTCCAGATTTTCACTGGGATTCTTTCATGTCATCTGCACCGGTGTCCTTTACATCCTGCTGGTGAATTAGTAGCTATATCGTGCAGTCCATCTACGAACTAACGAGCCTTCGCAACATCCTGCAAATCTCAACCTCGACTTTAATGTCAGACGCCTTTTCCACATATTATTTGCCTGGGCCTTTTATTGTCTCAGTACGTGTCCCATGGCCCGCCCTGTCATCTGGAGCACTGTCCTATGGATTCTTCCCCTTGGCGCCGCATTGTACTGCCACCCCCACGCCAACTAGTTCTCTAGAAAACTGCCCGTAGGGCAAGGGGTCCCCAGACCTCCTATTTCATTTCGGTCGCAAAAAAAACGATCCAACCCATCAGGTTGGCTTTTGTGAACATCACTAAGTAGGTGAAAACGCCCAGCCAACTCTTTCAGTCCAGTTTTGAAGCCTGCCACATCTTGACTGAATCGATATTGGAACCTAGGCATGAAACATATATCATATGTTTTTCCGCTTCGTTTGTCAAAAGTTTCCTGTTTCCGGCGATGTTCACATCAAGTTTGCATCGTGGTAATGTTCCTGGTTTTGCATCACCCCCTGCCAGTTTCCTTAACATGTTTTGTGCGCGTTTGTTGTTTGGTCTTGTCACGATGCAATCATCATGTGTAAATTTTCCCCTGCCAACACATGGCGGCGTTTGGCATTGCAAACTGGCGGCTGAAGAAAACTCAAACACAGAAGTTTCATGTTGTGCAGCTACGGGTGCTACGTTCCATTGTTGACTAGTTTCGTTGGGGATGAACCGTGGCAAAACGCCACGCGACGAATAAATTCTAGATTAAAGTTTGCGCTGACTTCGCACCTCTCGCGGAATTGGTCGAATCGTTTTTTCCAGTCGGTAGCTCGGGTGTGCAGTCCGTTTGCACGGCACATGACGGTGTGGCAAACCAGCATATAAGATTGCATCCTTCGGCCCTGTTGTCCTGCGCGTCCAAGCTTGCATGAGGCGCGGTAAAGAAACAAATTCGGAGTTGAAGCACAGTTCTACATAAGAATGTTGAAAAAACAGGGTATAGTAAGATGGGCCAATTCAAAACCATTGGAATCCTTTTGAAAACACAGTAGGTAGTGTGGCATGATGGTACGCATGGTGCCGGTTCAAGGTTACGGGTGGTAAGGCTCTAAAC